CTGCCGGATCGGATTTCCAATGCGACTGACTTAGAGTGGTTTTCATTCTTTTTATTTCATCTTCCAATTCTCTGCTTATTACTTGTTGCTCTTCCGCGATCGGTTTAATGGTGTGTCTGAGGGTTGATTTGCCATTTCCGCTGGATTTGTGTTTCGTGAGGCGGTGTGGAATTCGATTGGATCGAATACGCTATCGTAAGACGTCAATGAAAATTCTCCGCGACTAGGGTTACTTGCGTCCGTGACTATTGTCAGATCTCGCGTCGGTTGGTCGTAGTAGAGCGTCGTCGCTACTCGGTAATAGGCTAGTGTCTATATCGCGGAGCGAAAACAATATTCGGATGTAATTCCGGTTGATTCGCCAGACTATTGTCGGAATAATAATTACTTAAATCGCTGCGTACATTATCACGCGAGTCGCGTGAATTTTCCGTCTGCTCGAGGCTCAGGGGGGCTCAGGCTAAGCGCTCGGCTGACTCGCGGTATAGCCACGTGTTTCTTTCGGCGGGAGTTTGGTTAACTTCCTCGTCCAACATCTACCTAGTCGTTTCTCTCGATATCTAATGCATTCGCCTTAATTTTCTATAACTTATGTTACGACCGCAATTCGCATGGTGACATAGCGCTGGCTATTGCGGTAGATCGCTGCTTTTCCGGTATTGTTGATATGCGTTGGCGTTGTCGCTCTCTCTCTCACCGCTGAGATGTCAGCTTCCGTTTCGGCTTTCTTCTTATAGCTGGTTGTTTGCCGTTTCCCGATCACAGGTGCTGCTATTGCTCCGAAACGATCCCACCGCTGCCACCAGTTTATATTGTGCGGGTCGCACAAGGAGGATCGATCAGAGAGTCGGCGTTTAAAAACACTAACACTTGTTTTTCTTTCCAATAAATTTTATTAAATAATATACTTTGTCCTTATGAATTCGGACCGCGACAGACCGCGACGTGACGGCAAGACAAAATCTCAACGAGTCCCGCTCCTAGCATCGGTCTACCGTTTTTATCCTGTTCCAGGTGGCCGATCCTTGTAACGTAGTCAAAATGTTCGTCAGTGTTCGCAGTATATTTCGGGGTTGCGTGGCTGCTTTCCGCGTAAGGACTGCACAATCCGATTGGCAATTACTTTATGTGGAACGGTTACAAAATAAATGCACGATTGCAGTTTAGCACTCAGTATCGATTAACAAAAGTAATAATAGTCGGATCGCACGCTTGCCGCAATTCGCTTCGTCAGGTGGGCGCGATTGCGTTCTTGGTGTTCGCGACAGCGCACACGATAAAAAATTTTCTTAATTCTTCAAAGAGTGCCATTTTTTCGCTTTTTCACTATTTTAGAATATTAAGACAGCGAACAAATGCGCACTTAAAACATTTACAAAACGTGACCGATAATGTTAACAAATGCACGCAATATCTTATAAAAGAAATAGAATTAACCTTCCAAAAAGTGTTACATAAATAGTGATATTGTAAAACTCAGGGAAAGGAAATGAAATTGAAAGGAAATTATCACGAAATCGCGCGCAATGTACGTACGCAAATAAACGATTTAACATTTCTGGATATGTATTTCGATATAATATTTATGGAATTAATTTCTCTGAGATTTAATGAAATTCTTCTATTATTTTCTCAAATCGTAATTTGTAACTTTTATTTATGAATTGATATAATATGTACAACGATAACAATAAACTTAATGATTTTATAACTTAAATTCCAGTCTTTGTCCGTATTATTTTCTTTTTACTCCAATCTAAAATTAATGCGCTACGTTACTTCGAGCTAGAAATATTTAAAAAATTTTTCAGACATTGCGTTTGTTATAAAATAAGAGCTTCATATAACTCCGAGTTCGTTAGAAAAACATCTAGTGTGAATCTATTCGTTCCTGTTTTCCATCGCATTCCATTCTCGTCAGGTCAAGTATATTCTTTTCAGATGTCCCTCATCTTTCTTGTCGCAGATATCGCTTTATCGAATCCTGCGGTCTCGAAACAAATTTTTAAGTTTCGCTAGCTATTAGGCGTCGAGAAATCTTTCGTCTTAAGAAAAACTTGATTTACATTCTATATATGCAAAGTAATAAATTCCTACCTTCGGGACGTTCTGCGTATCGTATCGCAAAAATCTTTTTTCATTAAAACGGGGTCAAGCATATTCCCTTCAGACGTTCGTCCTTCTTATCGCTGACGCCATTTTCTCGGACCCACGAGCAGCCCCGGAACAAATTTTAATAATTTCATTAGCTATTAGATCTGGAAAAACCTTTCGTCTTAAGAAAAACGTAATTTGTATCTCATATATGCAAAGAATCAGTTTTCTTCTTCGATCCAAGCTATGTATCCATAAAGTTCACATTCCATTCTCGTCAGTATATTCCTTCAGACGCCTATCATCTTCGCAGTCGCCATTTTATCAGACCCCAATCAGCTCCGGAACAAATTTTTAATGGTTTCACTA